TTTGCAGAAAAATATCACATAGTTAAATTCATTTATTAATAATTTCAATGACAAGTTCATATGCCAAGCAAATGAGATTATATACGATTTATCAATACATGTTATTTAACTTAATACTTTCACCGTTATCATCTCATAATATAATCTTATATTACTAACAGTATTCTTATGATGAACGCACAAGGTCAGTATACTCTTACCAACGTGACCTTCAAAAGTCGCACGTTATTAATAATTTGCCTCCTTAATGATTCCAATTCGAGATTTTGTTCACGAAAGAATTTTAATCGTCTGCGATTCTTTTAAAAACCTGCGAACATATGCGATTTTTTATCCTTTTTTTGAAGTTCACTTGATGCATTTATTGAAGCCTAGCGTTTATTTTCCACAAAATGGTTGTTCGAATTTTATTATAATAATAGAAATCATTTGATGATTAAACTAATTTATTAGTAAGATTTCCATTCTTACTTTCTCATCTTTGCGTGCATTAGAAATTTTAACTTCATTATAATTTTTGTTTGTTAATATGCATTATTTTCTAGAGTTGCATATCAAAATATAGGTCTGGTTCTTGCGTCAGATTTGATGATATAACCTCATGGTGACTTGGATGATTGATTTTTTGTTTTAGAGAAGACACCATGCATGTGATTAGTGCTTTCTGGACATTTCTTTTTAAATGGATTAATATATGTAAAAGGACGATTTAGATTAAATCTATATGAATCGATAACTAAATACTAAACAAAATTCATTTTTGCCCTTGCTGCTTTAGATAGAACTTATATTTGAATATATGATACGAGATTGTAATACTGTAATACAATCAAATTGGGCATATATTTTTTTGCTCTAAATTTTGTTTTAAATCAACCTTTCTTTTTTATCATGCTTGCTTAATAGACATTTTGTAGTTAAATAGCAATATATAATTGTTTATATATTATTGCATTTAGATAGAAAATGAATATATTAACGACCACAGTTTTAAGAGATTGCTATGTAAATCAGCTTCTTTGTTATCGCTATATTATGGTTTTTAACACGATATTACAAATTTTAGCATATGGATACTTTAGGGATTTAAAAAAAAACATAAATAATAAAACTAAAATAATTTTTCATGTATTGTGGCTGATAATCTTTCGTTTATCTCCATTGGATTAGGTGTGACAACTTTTATCATCACGAACAATTGTAAATTTCCGTTCAAAACCGCACAAAAGCGCGAACAGTTCCCAACTTCCATAATTCACAGGGATTTGTTAACTCTTGATTTAACTGTAATAATTTCATACCGGTTTAGTTAACTGTTTAAATTTTAATAACGTCGGGAGCTGGAACAAAATAATTTTAATGCGGATTTAATTTAATGAATTAATAAATCAATAAATCACCATCGACTTTAACGACTTCATTATAATACCTCACATAGACAACCAAGACATAACCTGACATATGGGACGTATATTTCACAATGTGCTGCACAATAGATTTTTCTTTTTGTAGAAAGTTTTTCAATTGTTTAACTGAGAATATAAACAAGTTATATTCTCAATCAAATTCAGTCCGCTTTTGGTTCCGCACAATCGCATCAATTTCCTGGAAACGCACGATGAGAACGGATGCGGAATACAAATGCTAATACTGAACCGAATGAATAACGCAGGTCACATCAGTAAAGCTCACTGGACACTAACATTTTTCGTCATTGCCTAAATATTGATGATCATGGGCATTTGATTCATTCATTCATTTGATTCATTTGACTCTTGAATTTCGTTTGACAAAAATATGTAACAAAAAGTACATAATTCCAGCCTAAATTTTCTTCATTAAAATCCTCCGTGATTCTCCGCCCCAGGCGTGTGGTTTATTCAAACTGATATATGTCTTTTTTACATGTCACCTATTGACATTCGAAAAAGTCGTATTTTTGGATGTAGTAATATTTTTTGGAATTAATTTTTTTTATTCTCTTTATTGAATTACAATCTGTCTTTACAAAAGGAAGACATTTAGTAATTTCGATGATATATGAAATATTAAACATTAGATCTAAAAGGTTACCCAGTAGTAAGCCTTTTCAATTTTGATATATTAAATTTAAATTTCGTGATTATATAGAGTAAACTTAATAATAAAAAGATTTGGAATTAAGTAATGCATCAAAATTATAAAAATTCTTCTAAAAGTCTTTAAATGAACATAAACTTTCAAATCAAATATAAATTTCTGTAATTTCTCGCATCGTTACATGTTATCTACTTATTGAATTTAAACATACATGGCAGACAGATAAATGTAATCCTTTTAGATTTGTCATTTTCATGCACTTAGTTTTACCAAATTTTCCAAGCAACTAATTAATCATTCAAGATAAATTTAGGAGGTATAAGAAAAATGTTTACAGCGCAAAATCACCCATTGCATATGTACATGAATATATTTTAACCCTTTCCACTCGGATGCCGACGCTCCGGCGGCAAAATTCATGTAAATCTCGGAATTCGCGAGTGGAAAGGGTTAAAATATAATAAGTTACATTGAAAAATAATCATCGAGAATATAAACAAATATATGTCTTTTTTATTTTTATACATTAACATATATGGGCTACATTTATAATGTTTAACTGGTTATATCGATAAGAAATAAGTTTGTGATTATAAAAGTAAGAAATTTGTACACATTTGTAATTATATATATATATATATATATATATATATATATATATATATATATATATATATATATATATATATATATATGGCTAAACATATACATGTATAGAAGATAATTGCATCATATTTAGATTGCTCATAGAAGATTAGTTAAATTTTCAACAGTTTCAAAATTAAGGTGATACCATTTAGGTGATACATGATACATTAAATGCATTGCGTAGCTATATCTTACAATAAGCGAATTATAATTTTCGCCAATATATTGTTTGGACATCGGCGTAAGTTCTTGACCGATGATTTTTATTTCCAAAAACAGGCCGAATCTGAAGTCGCTGCCTTGAACCGACGCATTCAACTCTTGGAAGAAGATTTGGAACGTTCAGAAGAACGTCTTGCCACCGCCACCGCTAAATTGGCTGAAGCCTCACAGGCTGCTGATGAATCAGAACGGTAAGTTATCGGTCAGGAGATTTCACAAATGATAAACATACACTTCCAAACTACTTGGTATATTAGAATCTTAATTCTTGGTTACTCATAATAGTTAAAACTTCAGAAGAAGATCTAAAGAAATCCTTGAACCTAAATAATATTTACAATCTAAATAAATTGGGTCTTCATATAGCAATTTTGATCAACCCAACTATTATTTTGTCGGTTATTAAGAACTCTGCTTGAAAGTTTTTTTTCTATAAAACAGATTATGAATATATATATATATACGAGTATATTTTCTTGCTATTAATAAATTTTATTTCAGATATTTTTTTTACTGTGTGTGTGGTGTTTATACTTTCTTTTTGCAGAGAAATGTTGGGAGGTTTTCAATATATTTTGACACACATGTATACATTTGCATATGCACTTATATTAAACATATGCATATAAATTGTGATGAGAGATAATTAAATTACTTTTAATATACTGTAAATGAACAAAAAATTATCCATTTTGGAAAACTATGTTGGAAATTAGATTTTCCGATTGTTTTTTTCGTTGGCTTCCCATCGTTTAATAGTAGGGCAGAATGATGTCAAAATACGACAAAAATAAGCTGCGATAGTATGTTCTATTTTACACCAGAATTTTGCAAAATCTATATTCTTGTTCAGGATACGTAAAGCACTTGAGAATCGAACTAATATGGAAGACGATCGAGTAGCAATTTTGGAAGGTCAGCTCAGCCAAGCAAAACTTATAGCAGAAGAGGCTGATAAAAAATATGAAGAGGTGACAAAATATGTCAAAGAATATTGGTGGTCTTGAGCAAGATACGCCTTACAAAATTTTATTAAATGGTTTTTTAAAATAAATATATAACAAGAATTTTAAGCGATCCTCAATCGCCAAATTGAAGTTGGCTGTGTTCAAAATTGTTTATTCATAACCAGTTTTAACTACTGTCATTAGCAATATTTAAAATTTTTATATGCATACTTAATGCAAATGTGATTCTTGCTTATGGCTATGCAATATTTTTGACAGATTTATTTATATATTGGTTTAAATTGGTAAGCGACGATTGTACAGCAGCTGTAGGGATTTTAGGGCAGGTGATAGTAATTTTACTACGATACTTTAGTGTGTTTATTTTTTTAAGTTTGTTTATGTATCATTGATATTTTTAATTTGTGTATGTATAGATAAAATATACATTATATATTATATGTGAATAAAAAACCAATATTGCTTTTGAGACATGTCTTTTTATTTATATTATAGAGGTATAGTGAATTAGTTCTTGTAACTAAAAGTTTCATGTAAAGAACATACTGGATTATACACCAAAGTTATTATCACCTGAGATATATTTAACTCATTTTTAATATTTCAGGTTTCCAGAGTTTCAGATATCAATTATTTTAAAAATGAATCGATTCATATAAAATTTGATCAGTCTATAGAGATGATTTTGTTGGCATTCGTTTTAAACTATCCCATATTTGTTATAGAAGAAGATAATAAAAAAATATATAAATAATAGTACATTTTATCATTTAAAGTTTTTATAAATTCCGGATATCGTCAAAAGTTGGCTAGATCGAATTATATATGCATTGATATGTTTTTCCAAATATTGTTCAAAATATTAATCATTTTGCTTTCTGAAATTTTTAAACTATAGGAATCGTAAGATTCTCGAAAATCGCGCGATGAATGAGGAGGAGCGTATGGATGCGTTGGAGTTACAGCTGAAGGATGCCCGTTTAATGGCTTCCGATGCTGACAAAAGATATGACGAGGTTTATATCATGCACACGTACACCTTATCTTTTCTCTAGACCAAGTAGACACTACACCTAACATAACATTTTCATGACCAAATAATTTGTGATAAGAGATAAATATTCAAGTGATATCTTGAAATTAAAAATTGGCTCGACTTGATCACAATAAGATATTTGTAGCACGGATTAGATTTTAGTTCAAAGCTTGAATAAATTTCACTAATATGATCAATTTTAAGAAAACATACAGAGAGAAAAGCGTTTTATAAAGTAGAAGAGCTTTGATCACAAATTGTTTGGTTAGTCAGTATTTTGAAGTAGCGTCGTGAAATTTGCAGAACACTCCGATTGGCATTGGACATTAGGAATGTTAACAATGGCTACGTAGATTTTTCTATCCTTCTAATTGTAATATCCTGTAGTTAGATAATGTCTTTCATCCCTTGTTATTTTTCTGGTATATCCCTGTAGCGCCCGTAAGGTGCTTGAGAACCGTTCCCTCGCCGAGGAAGAGCGCATGGACGCACTTGAGAACCAACTTAAAGAAGCGCGATTCTGCGCTGAGGAGGCCGACAAGAAATACGATGAGGTGTTTATTCTCAACACGGAGCTCTCTATGTTCTTGTTGCCTTAATACCTGCCAAACATATTTACTAACACTTGCGTGTTTGTTTTAGTTTTCTGTTTGATTAATCTTGTTAGATTGCTCATTATTTTTGTCAACTTTATCATAAAGCTCTTACTACTTTATGAACTTTTAGTTTACTTTTTTACAAAAATAAATTGCAATCTAACGCGTTCACCAGTTTTATCGTAACCAATTCCCGTATTTAGTATCACTAATTATATATTTAAAACTTTTATTTATCTGGATATATGATTCATACTTGTTCGAACGAATGAGAGCATACTTGCATATACTTTGCCACAAACATATTGCTTTTTAAATGTCGATTTCTTTTCGTTCAGTAGTAACGTATATTTTTACTGTTCGTCTTTTTCATATGTGTCGAAACATTAGTCGAAAATCGATCTAATGCTGATATCGTTTCTATTGAAATTGTTACATTTTCACCTTAATTTTCAATATAATATTTTCAAGCTTTAATAAAATAAGTTGCATTTGCATAAAATTTAACTTATTATATATTTCATGTTTTATAATGTTCAATTTGTCTAAGCTTTTAATGCCTTACCATTAAGAAATTTTTCTTTTTTTATATGTTGTGTCGTCCGAATAATAACGTGTCATATTTTTGTGCGGAATTGTTTAAATAAAAAAATGTCTATTTTGAATGATTGCATGTGCTCAAAATATTTTTTTAAAAGTCTATTACTTACGAACACAATTTTCTGACCTAGGTTGCCCGTAAATTGGCCATGGTTGAAGCTGATTTGGAAAGAGCTGAGGAGCGCGCCGAAGCAGGAGAATCGTATGTTTTAACATAAATCGAATTTTGCAGTGAAACGTTTTCACTACCATAACGTGTGATATTAATATGATATTTAAAATCTAGAAATCCAATTTAGTATAAAAAAGCTATTATAAAATATGCGTTTATAACTGGATTGGACATAAAACCTTTTTCTAGATTTTTTTTGTAGTGCATGTTTTTTAATGTTTTTTTCAGGTGCAGCCATGGCGGAGAAATATAATATATATGCTTATTAATAAATTAATGGTTTATTTATATTTTCTATTTTAACATAGTTTTTACAAATCCGGCCACAGTCTACGAAATTTCAATTAAAAATCATTTAAATTTTTATTGCTTAAATTTATTGTTGTACAGCTTTCCCTTGCATATTTAACCCTTAACTTGTGGTCTGATTTTTAAAGACACCCAATAATTTTTAACAATATTAACAATAAGTGTTTAGTTTTAAAATTTACAAGAATGAGCTAGATAGATTAGGTTAACAATATTTTGACAATAATATGATGCTTGTTAGTAACATAACATTTTTTTAAAACGTGTGCTGTAGTGTTTGTTGTGTGTTGCTTCACAGGTTGCTCGCAAATTAGTGATGATGGAGCAAGATTTAGAACGTGCTGAAGAAAGGGCAGAACAAGGAGACAGGTTTGATTGATTTATTGTGCTAACTAACGAAATAACATTTAATATCTTTGTAATGTATATTCATGTAATTTATTTGGGTACACAACTACAGTGGAACTTTGCTTAATGAATGTAGTTTATTCAAGAGAAAATATTTTAGTTTATTCATAGAGAAAAATCATACTCTGTTTGATTGCAATTGTTTACATAAGGTGTGTAATATTCAACAATTACGTACAACTTTAGGTTAGTCTTGTTTGCCAGATAAGTATATCAGAGTCTCGTTTGCTTTGGTTTTTGAGTAATGAGTGAATGATTAAGTTGATATTTTTTGCAAGAAGGGCGAATTTATTTGATTATCTTCATAAACTATCGAGAAACGATGTTCGGTTTTTATCAACTTTATTAGTTGTATTAATGAAATTAATCGAATCACTTCCTTGTATTAAATCTAATTTAAAAAGTTTAAATTTTAAATTTCTTCATTTCTTTGGATGCTATCGATTGGAAATGAATCCAGCATTGTAAAATGTTTTGATTCAAAATATTTCGATTAACAATTTATTTCTGTCGTTACTGAAAATATTTAGCAGGTCTTTTTAGCTTGGTATTAAATGGATATTAAAAACAATATTTGGCAACGTTTCCTTGATTTCAATTCTTGTCGGTTATCGGAAAGTTTATGCAACTAGTCTACAGGCAAAATTCCATTTTAAGCTGTTACAATTTATTTCACTGTTAAAGAAGGTTTCATTGTACTTTCTCGAGATATTCACAATTTTATTTTTTCAAGTCATTTTTTATATTCTATCTTTTTGAAATCAAATAAATGAAGTCTTGGCCAGCACTAATCTATTTTTTCAAAATTTCAGCAAAATTGTAGAACTTGAAGAGGAACTTCGCGTTGTCGGTAACAACTTGAAATCTCTTGAAGTATCAGAAGAAAAGGTAAGACTTTTTTTTCATACTGTTTATATATATATATATATATATATATATATATATATTTAAAAAATGTATTATAGCCGATGAAGTTATTCACAATTTTAGTAAAATTCATTTTAATGAGCTTATTAGATTTTATAAGTTCTAAAATTATTATATTAAGGTGCAGATATTTCGTAATTATTAAATTTAAAATATCCAGACATTCATATATTTTTTTATTTATTTTATTAATTATCATATATTATTATTTATTTATTTAATAATTTAATAAATAATTAGGCCAACCAACGTGAGGAGGAGTACAAAAACCAAATTAAGACCCTCACAACTCGTCTAAAGGAGGTAGAGACGATAATATATTATCGTTGTGTTTTTGGAAATGCGTTATTTTTAGATCTAACCAGATTGCAGTTGCACTTGCGTGATAATATGAAAAATGGAACTTCTATGCCCATTTTTATGCTAATTTTGTGTATTAAAACTGTGTGCTCAAGAGATATGATCTATATTTTGTAAAATAATACTTTTTTAGTATTATAATGATCAAATTAATTTATTGGATTGATTTGATCATTTTCTTCTGAAATGATTTGATTAATTAAATTTTGCATATATAATAAAAATCTTGGAGTATTTAAAAAAAACTATCTGTAATTATTTTTAGTAGATCATGTCTTGTGTGAAAATATAACATTAATTTTTCGATAATAACTATAGAAGTTTAAAATTTTATTTTTATTTTTACTAATGATTTATTTTCCTTTTTTTCAATGTGTTGTCTTTTGCTCGATGTGATTTGGACTAACATCTAACAAACAAAATATAATAGGCTACACAAAGAGAAGAAAGCTTCGAAGGTCAAGTAAAAATATTAGATGGACAATTAAAAGAGGTAACACATACCTTCAACGTTATTATACCAATTTTATGAATCAACAATTAAAATTCATTCAAATTTCTTTTTTTTTTAATATTTTCCTATTTTGAATACTGATTATCTGAGGAGCTGATGAAGTATTAAATCATTTTATAAAGCTTAATTAAATAAAATATAAATTGAAACAAACATTTTCACAATTATAATAAACTAAGTTATATCTATATACAGAAGTACTGTTTCAAATTCTACTTGGCTTTTGTTTTCAGTTAGTTTGCCTGCACAATTGTCTTTGTTTTGACTAATAACTTATACTTGCATGTGTTTTTGATGCACATCATTTAAACCAGTTTTATGTTGTTATATTGTTTTTGATCCCTACTTTAATGTTTCTATTTTTTAATTCATTCTATTTAATTTAGGCTGAAGCTAGAGCTGAATTTGCTGAACGTTCCGTTCAGAAATTACAGAAGGAAGTCGACAGGCTGGAAGGTATGATATTTTCATTTCTCTAATAATTTTATTTCTTTAATAATTGAAAAGAATCAATTAAATAATGTAAAAGCCAAGATAAGTGATGCATGGCAACATATCTTGGACATTGATGTTGTAGTAAAATTAATTTTTTATTTTTATAGATGTAATTTATTTTGTGTTTTGCTTTAAATAATCTTGTTTTGTTTTGGCTTTAACAAATTGTTTTACAAAAAAATCAACAGACGATCTACTTGCTGAGCGTGAGAAGAATAAATTATTGCAAGAAGAAATGGAAGTTACTCTGCATGATATTCAAAATATGTAACATCTTATGTTCACTTGAATGATATAATAAAGTGATCAATGTGTTTATTTACACTACAAGAATTATAACAACGGACTACAACATTAACGATTGAAACGAAAAAATTTGTAAATGATCAGAATTATGTGATGTTCAGTTCTTTCTGTTCAAATAAGGTATATTTATACTGAATCGATTTCGGACACATAACTTGATTACTTATAATCAATGGTATTATTTTTTATTAGTATTCAAACATAGGCGTGTATGTTGGTGCTATTAATTATATTTTTCCCATTATTACATAAATTATAAAATTATTTGATGCAGAATGTGATTTCGAAATTTTCCAAACTTTTTTTTTGATAATACTACTATGATTGTTAATGAAAGCAATTTAGTCACTATTATTTAGTTATAAATAATTCCCAATTAATTGTTGATGGCTTAACCATTTTTAGCTCGTTAGGTTTAAGAATTTTTTTTACATATTCAATAACATAGAGTTTTCAAGTTCAATAATATTTTCATTTTTATATCGAATTAGTTTGAATCAAAGGCCTTTATTGTACATCACATGGGTCTATATCTTTCACTATATATAACTACACCCTCACAAAATACTAAATTGTAGGCCCATTTCTTTTATTCATATTATTGCAATTATTGGTAGTAGTCTATTACCTTTAAAAATGAATAAAAGTTTAACATTTGGTAGAAATTTATGCAAAATTAGTTTTAAAACTTCCATGCCGTGATAAATTAAACATTCCTGATAGTAAAGTGTAAAACTAAAAATTTATCACTGCCACGATAGGGGAATATTTTTCAGCTATGAATATAAAAGGCTAAGGCAATGCATTAAAAAAAACTACTTAAATGTATCTCGAATTCAAATGAGTATTCATTCCAAATAATTACGTCAAATACTTATAAATATTGAAAAAAGAACTATATTAGGTTTTATATGTAATTGTATTATATAAGTGATTAAAAGCACGTTGTTTTATGAATATTGGAATTGTATTCAAATACTGGACGTTTCTGATTCATAAATTCAATTTGATGTCTCCAAAAGTATTGAATTTAAATATAGATATTACCATTATTTTAAATATTTGTAATCGTTACGTCAGATTCATAGAAATTATTTTTGTAAAATTCGGCATATATATGTAAAAGTTATATATAACTTGCATGGGCAAGTTTTCCTTTTATGCAATATTTTTTTTCACCATTTTGCCTTGTTTTATATCAAGTAATTTAAGAAATTACCAAATTATTGTGCATGTCATTTATAATTTATTTATAAGTAAAATTTTAAATTATTCAAATGTTGTGAACATTTTCTTCATAATTTTTTATACAACACTAATAATTGTGTGTGTGTTTATAATATATTATTTAAATTAACTTAGTTTTTTAATTTCTATCCCTGTACCTTTCCTTATTGTTTCATGAAATCTTAAAATTTATGCATGTTTATGTGTGCTTTTGTTTAAGTTTGTAATTCAGTTTTTTAATCTTTTTTTGTTATTAGCATGGTGTTTTTTATGAATCTTACCAAGTGAATTATGTTATTGATACTGAAACGATTCCATTTGCTATCTTTTTCTCAAAACTTATTATACCATTATTTTTCTCACATAAATTTTGTTGCTATGTTTTAACTTCTTTGGTATCTATGAATATTACGAAATATTATAATTATAATAAATGGAATATAATTGTTAAATATTACATAGATTCGAAAAATTTTGATAATTAATTTAATTTTGTACTTAATTAGCGACGACGTTTTATTTGATCTACCATTATCTTATATGAATATAATTTTTAGTTCTTCATAATTAATTATCAATCTTATTCAATTAAGGTGACAAAATTAAGATGTCATTAATATATTTACCTTGATGCTGATGGTTTGCTAACATTGTATACGTTAATCATGGAAATAATTAATTAACAAAATTTTTAGACGAGTTGGTCGCCGAGAAGGAGAAATACAGGGAAATTGGAGACGATTTGGACACAGCCTTTGTGGAACTTATTCTCAAGGAATAAACTTATACTTAGCAAAATCATCAAACTACTATTTTAGAATCTCTACAGGTTCTATTAGGTACACATCGTGTGTTGAATGTTCCTGTTGTCTGAAATACTAATTTTAACTCATCCTTGATTGTTTGTTTTACTAATAAGATAATTTTTTCCATAGGTGAATATTTAACACTAAAACGTGTTGCAGATTCAGTATTAGCTTACAATTAGTTTTAATATATTAAACATTTTGCAGCATGCCTGATTGCAGTTTTGAATTTGTATATAAAGTCATACCGAAACAAAGCAATTATAACAGGCAGTCTTAATTGTTCACCAGGAACTTTTTTTTTCTATAGACAGCCGCAAATGCAGGGCTAAAATTCGATAGTTTGAAATACTAAATCGACACAAAATGAATCATACAAATTGACGTCGTGTGTAGTTATTTATTTCAACACACAGTTATGGTTTAAACTAAATGTTCAAAAATTAATCAATCAATTGGTTATCAACATCTATTGCCTTTTGATATCAAAATAGTGAAAATGTTCATTCTTCTTGTTTTCCTATTTGAAGACTTGAATTGTAATATTTTCCTGTATTTGATACGCGTATAGCTAACTAGAAAAAAATTGGCTTTTGCTTAGAACCAATATTTATTAAAAATATTGAAAACATGCATATAGTACATAGTTATTCCGATATTCATCTTCACTTCCCAATTATGAATATATATAGAGATTTTTTGCGATTATAATATTTTACAATATAATATGAACAAGTACCATTAGGATGTAAACTGCTTCTTCTAGTTCTCTAGATATTTTTATCAATATTTCAAGTTTAATCGAGCAAACATCAGTATCCTAATAATTTGGTTTTTTTTTGTATCTTTACATCAAAATATTTAATTGATGCTCTTTATTGATTCTGGTGCCTGTTTGATCAATTAATGATAGATAATGACAATGAATAAATAATATTAACCTTTACAACAATAACAATGCTAATAATTCTCCATGGTTGCAATTTGCTCCATGATTTTCAAAAAAGTTTCAAACACTATCAAATCCTTACTAAACTTTTTACTGACCTAACTGATATGTTTTGTATAACATCTGCATTTTGCGTGAATTTAATCCCACTAACTGTTTTATTTTTCAGGACTCTATATTTAATTTATATTTTCCTAATTCCATTATAGATTCCAACAAGTGCTCAATGCCAGATGGGCGCCTTACATCTATTTATGCAGCCCAACATCATTGTATTATTTATTATTTAATTCAGGCGGAAATAAATAATTATTATTCAAAACATGTGCACATATTAAATTTAAAGAATCATTTTATGTTTCTTACGCTATGTAAAATCCTTTAATATTAATATTTTATTGATGTACTTTCTCACACATACATTTGTATATGTAATATGTAATTACAATTTATTTAAATTATTTCTTTAATTGAGTTTTATTATTTCTTGGTGGTGAATGTAGTGCATTGTAATGTGAATGTATTTTAGTATATTCTATTATCATTCTGGTAATTATTTTATGTCGTTTAAACCTATATATTAGTGTTCTTATGGAATTGGTTTTATTATTATATTATTTGCAATTTAAATACAACGATTTTGGTATGAAGTGATTAAAATATTTCATAGGGAAAGAGTAACTAAATTTGTTGCAAAGTACAAATTTTCTTTTACTACTTTTACCTCAACTACTTTAAATTGATGGTGGTGGTGATGGTGTATGCGTTTTACTACTTACTATTTCATAAATTGAACCTACTTTACTTTTAAATTGATGGTGGTGATGGTGCGTTCAATTTTCTTACGAATGTTTATTATTTAACATAATATTGGGTTGTTTGAAAAGTAACTTCGTTTTTTATAGACATTTTCGCACGTAATTTTCGTACAATAAACAATTAATTTCATAAATTATGTATTGGCAGTTTTGATCGAACATCTTTTGTATTATTTCCAGTATTAGCATAATTCCGAGAACATAATTTTTTTGGTCGTTATTTTAAAAAAAACTGATCAAAGCGCTTTTTGACATGGTGATTTGGGGTAAAGGTTTTACCGCCTAAAAATTTTGTTAGTGGCCGGAACAAATAATTGAACGATGATGGCAGTTCTGGGAATATGATGAATATGACCATTTAAGCTACAAAAGCTTTTGGCGATTGACCAAACTTATGTGACGTCGTCTTGATGCGGGACTATATATTGCTTGTGGGTTAATTCTGACTTTTTCTATTGGAGTATATCATTTAGTTTATCCAGTTGATGACATAAGGCATTTAAATTAACCGTTATATTATCCTGGAAAAGTTGAAAAATGAACAACTCTTTTAAAATCTTACCAAACATACTGCAACACCTTTTTTCTGGCAAATTTCTGCTTTGCACCTGTTTTGAGCAGGTAATTTTTTTGTTTCATGAGCAATTGCGTGTATTGAATTATTTACATTCCATAAGACATTCCTAGTGACAATTCGCTTCAAAACCTGATAATTTTCAAGACTTTTCAGAGGCGAATCGCGGACACCAGTGCGACGACACACGTTTCTTTCTTTAGAACCATAAATTGAGTTTCGTGAAATATTCCAGACCTTTTGAGTGGCCATGAACTGTTAAATTTGATAAATTTTATCACAATTGGGTCTTATGTATTGTTATTCGCCGGTTTGCATCAACTAATGCCTTTCTCACGTCTTTATCAACTGCAACCGTACTTCTTGGACATCAAAATACCAGGAACGAAATTTAGCAAACCAATTTTGGATTGTCGTACAATCAACATGCCATTTTCGTACACATCGGTCAATTTAATTTTCACTTAATCTGAATTGTTACCTTTTTATAGCAAAAGAGTAAACTATGTCGAAAATGCTGCTTAATTCTTTCCGTAATCCAAGAGGGCACCATCCAAAAATTACTGCATGTAATTGATTAGAATTTTTTACATACAAGCCTTAAAATATAAGTTTTCAAATCATATAATAATTATAGGGCTTAAGTGTGATGTTAGGTTCAAAAAAATATAGTTCAATTTTGGTGGTAAAAAAACGAAGTAACTTTCCGAACAACCTTATACATCAATTTAAAGAATGGTTCAAATAATTTCTTACT